CACATGAATTATTTTTATTAAAAGCAAAGAATTTAAAGGATTTTTACGCTTTACTGTTGGAGCATTCAAAGATATAAGCAAAAGATCCAACGATGGGCATATCAAATTCATTTGAGCAGAGAAAAAAAGGGTATCATGAACCTTTTTTTTGGTGGCCACAACTGAGCTGTAGCAAAAAGGTGTGTTGAACGCATAGTTTTGGTTAGCAACACGTTAAGCGGGCAGATAAAAAGTGTTGATAATTTCAAATTAGGCAGATTTTTATTTTTTCAATTGATTTTTTATTAATTTCTGACATTTTTTTGAGCTTTTGGTTTTACATTATTTTATTTCACAGAGTTCATTGTACCTTCAAACCATCGATGTCTTTAGATATTAGCTTCAACTTTGGTTTCGTTTTGAGTTACGTTGCAATGAGAAAAAAAATTATTATAAAATTCATTTTAAACTATATTTTTTTATTTTTTGTATATAATTTAATTTACATGTTTGACTTTTGTTGAAATTATTTTTTTCTTCAACGAAAAATTTATGTTCGTTTTTAGTAAAGATTTTTTTTATTGCAATTCACTTGTACTTGTTGGAAAATATGGCACAAGGAAATTTGCATTGACGCATGGCACTAAATAGGAAACAATTAAATTAAAATATTTACAAATGTATTTATTTTTGGCAATTTTGAAAATTTTTGTTAATTAAAAATATAATGAAATTTAATCAAACGCGTCAATCAATTCGTTGCATATCAATTTCGGCGAAAAATTTTTATCAAAATTATATGCAGCACGAATTCACAATTTAGTGCAAATGCTAGTAAATTAAAAAATTTATTATATCAAAAATTATTTTATATTTTTAATTAAATTTAAAACTTACAAATATTTTTAAAATGGTTGAGAAAAGTGAAAAATATAGTACAATACTAAAAAGTAGTTGTGATGGTTTTTTATACAGTTTCCAACCTTTCTTCTCAATTGTTAAATTTGATTCGCTACGATAATTTTATTTATTTAAATTTACTTTAATGTTTCTATATTAATTTCGGAAAAGTATTTGGAAGATGTTTTAAAAATATTTCTATTATTTATATACTCATTACACTTTAATAAATAATAGGTTGTTGAAGTTTTTATATGAACAAAATTAGCGCTGTTATGTTGAATAAAATTTTGTTTGTTCCTGACATAATTTAAGAAAAAATTCGACCTCCTGTTGCAAAAATAAATAAATAGACACAAATCGTAATTTCAAAGAACAAAATTAAGAAATACAAAATTTACGAAAAAAGAAATCAACTTGAAAGAAAAATATAATATTTCCATTTAGTAAGTTTTTATTGAACATTTGTATAGCGAATAGAGTTCAATAATCCCTAATTGACTAGTCTAAGAAAAGCGAGCAGATAAACAAAAATAAGACTTTTAAGAAGAAAAACAAAAAAAATTGTAAAATAAATATATAAAGTTAAACTAAATAGATTTCGATACTAGCATTTCTAATTTGTAGCATTGTAAATATTGAAATATCTAAACTTAAACACAAAATGAATTGTCTGTGTGCGTAGATCCAGATACTTCCTACCACACAGACGCATACATGAAGGCTTCTTACTAGACGCCATGCACCTTTGGAGCAGTTTTCCCACTGCATTATGATGCTATGCCTCAATTGCTATTGGGACTACTATTGTTTTTATGTACATATATCACATAGACGTGTGTTAAACTGCCAGCTAAGATACTGCCACTCGATCACCACTGATTCTCGCATTCATACTCATATGAGTACGAGAACTCGATTTCCTACATGCAAAATTTTTACAACGAATCCAAAAGTTTTTAATGTCTGTGTTTGTTTTTTTTGTAATTGTAATAAGAGAAAAAATTTATTTTTAATTTAAATTATATATGATTTAAGTTTTATTTTATTTTTTGAATTCTTTTTTAATTTTTTCCATTTTTTTTTCGATATCATTATTGCACTGTTTACCTTACTGAGTTGCATTTTTCTTTAGTGATTTTATTTTGAAGTCTGCACTGGTCCATTTGTCTGGTCTGGCATTTCGGACAAATTTCATTGAGTTTACTTTTCAGTTAGAAATTCTCGTTACAACGTCCGTGTCGTGTGGACGAAATTTTTTATTATTTAAAAATAAAAATACAAAACCAAATTTACTACATAAAGTACTTAAACGCCTTTAAAGATCTGTACTAATTGAAAAGTGTACTAATCAAAGTAAAATTTTTAAAGAATTTTATTTAATCTCTCACCACCGTAAAATATAATAAGTGTAACAAAATCACTGAGAGCAGTCATATAAATGTAATAAAGTTTAATTTCTAATTATATAAAAAATTTACTTAAAAATATACTTGTGGTGAAAATAATAATTATATTAAATATTTTTTTTATTGTCAACATAATGCGGATAAATAATTTAAAACTGAACAATTTGTTTTTAGTTCAATATGTATACAATATCCTAAATTTATATGAAGAGAACAATTTGATGTAAGAAAACTTTCGCTTAACAACTTACAATGTTGTGGACTTTTATGGATAAGGATAAGTCTATCAGTTCTGTAACCTATTAAAATATATAAAATGTTATTGTTGTTATTCATAAAAGTGAACTTCTAACAGTATTTATAAACCGCATTTAAACACTTTGATTAAATTGAGTATTAAAACTGACTCCTGGACATGAGCTAGCCAAGGTTGAAACTATTCAATCAAATTTATTGTAATTAATACCATCTATCTCTGAGAAAAATATGAATAACACATTTTCAATCTTTTTTTTCCAGGTTTTAGGAATTTTTTTGTTTTATCTTACTTTAAATAATCTGAAATATATGTTATGTTATGTTATATTGAGTCTTTTCCAAGTTAGTGCATCTAGGCACTTTTACTCTATAATGGTTGGGGGGTTTCTGCAATAACAATAAGTTTATTTATTTTAAACATACAACTCAGTCTACTTTGTAGATCATTTTAAGTGCTATTCCAAATTTGAAAAGAAATAGTATTTATAAGGACCTATGTCATAACATATTTTCTTTAAAATACTAACCACGGTACATGGGATAATATATACTCATCCTAAATGAGATGATAGTCATAAACAACTTAAAATAGAGAAAAACAAACTGTAAGATAATAATATGTACAGAGAAGTATAATTAAAAAAATATTGAGATATAAAGTTATATATATATATATATACTGAATAAAAAACACGAACTTTATGGTTATACAACAAACGTTCAACTCATTTATTTTCTATAATTTTGCTCTTTAAATACTAAATCTTACATACAAAACAGTTTAAAAATATTATTCTTAATTAGTTTGGGTTTTTCTCTTAGCTATACATATTCTTTTTGTATAATTTGACCTTGTCCGTCGCTACTTATTTAATTATGATCATTTTGTTTAAAAAAAAACCCCGTGCTATAATATTTTAATGTCTAAATAAAAACCCGTGTTAAAGAAATATTTAAAGGTCTAGAAAAATTCTTGTTAAGGAAATATTTTACGGCCTAGAAAAAACCCTTGTTAAAGAAATAACTTCATTTCTGGAAAAATAATGAAATACTTAATGCCCAAATAACTGATATATGTTCAATTTAGAACATTTTCAAAGGGGTCAGATTTTCCTGCCGAGAAAGCTACATTAATTTTTTCTGATTTCTATTTACAACCAAATAGCATATACAATAATATTACTAGAACAATAGTTAATACTAATGAAATACCTAATGCTGTATGCACACTTATATAATGCCATTCAAGTTCTCTGAGTTTCAGCTTATCTTCTTTAAGAATGGCCAGTTTATTTTTTTTGTCCTTAATTTGCATCGTGTGATTCATTAGATAATGGTACGTAGGGTTCATAAATACACCAGTGGAGTTATCTGTTTCCTTTAATAAATACGTTCTGAAACCGTCATTTATTCTTGCCGATGCCGTAAGCATTGTTCTGTCAATTCGTCCTGTGCAAACTTTGTTGAGTGATAGTATTCTTTTCCTACCACATGGCAACATTTCTTGTTCTTATTTAGACAATAGATAAGGACTGGTGCATTTCCTTTGTAACTATACAACCAGCTACATTTCAATTTGTGGCATATTTCCGTGCAACGTATTATCATAGATTCCATGTGGTCTACCGCTTTAAAATACGGTTACATGCTGTAGTATACTATTAAGTTTCATGATGTTGACAATCGATCAACCATTCCAATTTTTTCCATGTATTGGAAGGTATTGTTGCAAAGTTCATTTACTAATCCTTCACGTATTTTTTCGGCGTTGCCTGCAGGCAGCCATTTATCTCGTTGCAGCGTCCACAAGTACTTCATCTTTTAAGTACGCATCCTTTAAATAACGATGCTTTAAGTTCAGTTCCAAGTCTTCTTTCCGTCTACAATGATCTATAATCTCTCCCACTCTATCTCTCTCTTAGTGTAGAAATTAAGGTAAACTTAAGAGCACTACATAATGTGTATCAATAAATATAATAAATTGAGTTTAATTCTACCCGCAAAACAAGAACAGTCTTTTATGTTTGCTTGCATATATATCAGATTTATGTAGATCTTCGCCAAAGTAGCTGACTTTGTAGCTGCTACCAAAGCAGCTGACTTTGGTGAAGAGTAAAAGGTTTAGGATTGCAGTCATTATTTTTTAAACAAAAAGTATATTTTAAATTTTTACAGTAGAATTGGAAATGATTTAGTTTAGATTTTCAGAGAAAACAAAAAACCTTTTCTAAACAATTTAGAAAGTGAATTCACTGAAATGTTCCATTGAAGAGGTATAAAAAAGCTCAAAAAAATTAAACTCTAGACAACCGAACGCTTGGTCTTTTCTGTCTTTTCTCTTTCAAATGATTGTAAAAATGATAATGATATCTAATACTACAAACTTATTCATAAACTCTTTCTTTTACATTCGTACTTTATTTTTTATATATTAAATTATGTTTCTTTTTTTAGATCATCAATTTCCTATTGACCTCACTAATGTTGCCAAAGATCACACGAACTTAGAAAATGATCAACTTCAGTCATTATACAGGCGTCTCTGCATATTAAATCGTTGCGCCAACATGCGTTTGGATCAATCTCACAAAGCACAAACTCCACAGGTACGTAACGTAACGCTTAATAAAGTGTGATATAATTTGGAAATTAGTATGTGTTATTAATATAGTTTTATCATACTAAATGTTCATCACATTTAGTTTTGAACGAATAAAAGTAAATTATTTTTAAGCATAAAATAAACTTACGTTTTTTTTTATACAGAAAGAGGATTCAGACGATGAGAACTTTGCCCTTAGTGAAAACTGGACATTCCAACCACACATACGTCGATGGTCACGTATTGGTGAAGGTGGTCTTGAATTGCCACCAGGCGGTAAAATAAATATAGAAAAAACAGAAAGTTCTTCAAAAGAATCCAGTCCTGATCGTTTTGAAGATGATTCATATGATGTTACTGGAGCTGGACTGTCACTCACTTTACCTGGTATCTGCACAGGTGATGCTGCAGATACAACATTACATGATACATCTGATCCAAACGGTGTTCGACTACGACGTACTGGTAGCGAACGTATTAAGGATGGCGCCAAAGCATTCCTAAGACGTGTAGAATCGATCAAATCACGTCGACGTAAACGACAAAATCGAGAAGGTATTGTTATAAGCGGGCCACAAGCGCTTGATTTATCACAACTTGGTCAACGGAGTCTGCGAAAACCAGATGCAGTATACTCAACACCACCATCACCTTCGGCTGTCAGTCCAATGCATACATTCCCAAAAGGTCCATTTTTCGGTAACGAATTAAAGGTGCCATCACATAGTGAAAATTTCTTAAGTCCAAATCGTGCGAGTCCAAAGCGTACACCAACAACACCGCGTTCAATGCGCACTAGTCCATTACACTTCTTCTCTAATCCAATGCCCCATTTAAAAGAAGGCAAATCAGACGATTCATCTTCCTATTACAGTGACAGTCAGGAATCTTCTGCAGGTGGCAAATTATCCTTACGTAAAACACCTTCAAAAACTCGCAGATTTTTGCAACGCACTGGTAAAGTGGATGACATTGGTGCACACTCAGATTCAGAATGCCATCATGGTAGGAAATTATTAATCAAAGATGCAAATTCTAATACAACTGAGGTAAGTATTGATATATCGAAGATATTTAAAACCTTTGAGACATTTACGCAATATTGGTCTGTTTAGGTAAAAATTAAAAAACTGACACGTGGTGGTTCGCTTAATCTTGGTAAAGATCCTAAAAAACGCGAAGGTTTCCGTACCGCCAGTTTTCGCTCACGTTCCACAACTCGTAAAGAAACCAAAACTGATGATGGAGATGTTGTTAAAAAGTAAGTATTTTTTACGCTCTACTTAGAATTATATGCATTTTAATATACTTTATATTTCACCAGTAGAACACCAGTTGTGCGGTGGCACAGTTTCCAAATGGAGGAACGACCACATATGATATTCCGAAAATGTTTTTCACAAAAAATTGATCCGAACTCAAATGATTATGGCATTCCTTTTGCTGCTATGTCAGCAGGGCAGTTGCAGATTATACGAAAATTGGCTTTAGTAATACTGACTGGTTATATGGAACGATACTGTCCAACACATCGTTCGGGTTGGAACTGGGAGCTACCCAAATTTATAAAGAAAATCAAAATGCCAGATTATAAGGACAAGAAAGTTTTCGGTGTCCCACTGTTACTCATACTACAGCGATCTGGGCAAACATTACCAACTGCAGTACGCTCTGCTTTCCGCTGGCTGCAACTGAATGCACTGGACCAGATCGGTCTATTCCGCAAAAGTGGTGTTAAGTCGCGTATTATCAAATTAAAGGAATTAATAGAATATTCCGAGTCAACAGCTGAGTGCATGGATGTATTTGACACACAACAGGCATACGACGTTGCTGACATGTTAAAGCAATATTTCCGTGACCTGCCAGAATCATTACTGACCACAAAAATGTCGGAAACATTTGCTGCCATATTCCAACGTAAGTGTGAAGTATAATAATTAATATATGGAGATTTTATAGAATATGTTTTTACTTTTAGACTTGCCCTCGGAAGTACGCTTAGATGCGGTACAGTGTGCAGTTTTGCTATTACCAGATGAAAACCGTGAAATACTTTTTGCTTTGCTGGAATTCCTGACACTTGTCGCTGGGAATGCCCAATATAATCAAATGACTGCTAATAATCTAGCGGTGTGCTTAGCGCCGTCTTTATTTCATAGCAGCATTTCGACAGGCTCAGCTTCCGTCTCAGCATCGCCTAGGCGTCGTAAGGGTGCTGGCGTGCCCGATGTAAAGGAACTTTCGGAAGCAAAAGCATCTCATGAATGCTTAGCTTTTATGATTGATAACTATAAGCAAATCTACACAGCAAGCAAAGAAAAAATTAATAAATGTAACTTTGGCTACATGGAAGAGTCCAAACCTGTACCACTGGAAGCATTGGGTGAGGGTATGCAATTTCATAATTGGCGCGGTTACTTATATGAATGTACAAGTGCAACTATAAAGGAAGGTCGCGAAAAGTAAGTTTAATTGCAATAAATATATTAGAAGTAGTTTATTTCTTCATTATTTATTGCAGAACTCGTGGCTGGTTCACTATAACTTCACTAAATGACACAAGCGTTGATATAGCCTATAAAAAAGTGGGTGATGGTCATCCATTGAGACTTTGGCGTTGTGTTACTGAAGTGGAAGGCCCACCTAAAGATGTGTTAGAATATATAATTAAACAAAGAGCTTCATGGGATGTCAATCTGTTGCAGTGTCAAACAGTTAAAAAACTGGACGAACGCACTGAAATCTATCAATATGCTTTGGATGGGCAGATAACAACAGATTTTTGTGTATTAAGGTAGGTTTTAGGTTTATTTGTTTTTTTTTTTTTATAATTAACAGTGAAAACATGTCTTTGAAAATATTTAATTTATAGATCTTGGCAAATGGACTTGCCACGAGGCGCATGTGTTATTGTGGAAACGTCTATTGATCATAATAAGGCAAAACCAATGTTCGGCGCTGTGCGTGGCGTAGTTTTGGCTTCACGTTATTTAATTGAACCTTGTGGCAGTGGCAGATCGCGGGTAATGCATTTAGCCAGAGTCGATATTAAGTATGTCAGATATATTATATTACATATTTTTGAAGTAAAAATTAAATTATATGTTATTATATTTATTTAAGGGGTAAAACGCCTGAGTGGTACAATAAAAGCTATGGGCACATCTGTTCACACTACTTATCCAAAATTCGCATCGCTTTCAAGCACGTAGCAGATGGACCCGAAAGCAAAGTTTAATTTTTAAGTAACAAAAATCCTTTCCTATATGACGTCCAGTGAAAACACTTATATATATAACGCTATTAACAAAAATACATTAAGTTAAGTACAACAAAAAGAAGCAAAACATCACAAAGAAAAGTTTTGAATATTTTATGTAAACAAACAAAATGTACTGAAACTGTTCAGAAGGTCTCAAAATTATTAAGCATTTACAGATTTTATATTTTGTATATATTTTGAGGAAATTTTTTACAGACATTCAAAGCCTTCAAAAAAATTTATTTATGTGTTTATATATAATATCAAAGTTAAGCTATTAAAAAAATAGATTATTTAATTGAAATGAAGTTCTTACAGTTTGATGTTAAGAGTGCTGTATGCAAAATGAAAATTGAAATTCGTAATAAGAATAGGATTTCTCTGAATGGAAATGTAAATAAATTATCCTTGACATGTTTGAATATTAATTTTTTTTTACTTTTTCTTTATAAATACCGTGTGTATCTTTTTTTATAGTTAAATTTTCACATATGAACTAAAATATAGAAATCGTAAAAATACGAGAAAATACTCAAAACTAAAATATCACAAATATTTTTTAAACTAATGAAATATTAATCATTTTTATATTAACTACTTTATTTAGATGTTAAGTACACTTCAAGTAAGATTTTCGGTAGTTTTTCTGTTTATGTTAACCTTATTTTATATTCTTATATATTTTAGTTATATGCACTCTAAGTTAGTTACGTTGAATAAGTTACTAAAGAAGAAAAAATAAAAAATTTGTTAATATGAAAAACCAATTGGAAAAAATTAAAATCTATTGGCGATTTTTTAATAATTGTCGAAGATGAAATAAAAATTGTGTAAAGGAATTTAACTAGTCAAATTATATAAATTTAAGTTCAATCAAACATGATAATGATGAAAAACGTGTATTGAAAATTAAAACTCTGATGGATTGTATGTGTAAATTACTAACAAAATGGTAAAAACAACCGAGCTTAATTAAAATTGGTTTCGTAAGAATTTATTATTATTAATAAAAAAGCATTGAAATATAACTAAGCAAATTGAAAACATCAAAAAAATAATATTGTTCTTAAGCAAATGTCTTTAAATTTAAGTGAAAATTAAAGCAAACACAACTTTTTGGTGTGTAAGTGTATAAATCATTACTAAAATTAAATTATTTTAATATTAATTTAATTACTAAATAATTAACATTGTAAATTGAAATGTAATGCTGCTGCATCAAACCATAACACAATAAATATCAAAACTATCAACAAATAAATATACAAACATAAAATATATCTATATATACATGACTTTTTTAATTTTTGTTATTGTTTATAAATTTGTCGATGATCCTTAATGCATATGAATTATACTATATGAATTATACTATACTAGTAAAAGGCTTAGGGCAGCGAAGGCATATATTTTCATAAGTGTGTGACAAAAATTTTAAATATTTTCTTATTAGACTGGATATTTAAATTGAAGTGGCGGCTTTATAGACCACAGCCCACTTGAGCTCATTGCGCACTTGAACGTTGACAATGATTCGTTGTTTGACAAAATATTGTGTTGGGTCAGTCTTGATGGTATTGATGTGGTCCTGGATGCCTAGCATGGTACGATGGCAAGCCCAGTATACCCGCCAGTTTTTGGGTGGAGCTCTTGGCAATTAGTTACCACAGCTAACATCAAACAAAAAAATATTGTGCTATTAACAGTTTAACTTTATATATTGTACCATCTCCTTCTAAAACAAATTTCAGTCCTGTTAGTCGATTTGTCTTTTTCGCTCCATTCGCTGTTGAATTTCAGCATTCCAAGATTCCCAAGATTTTTTAATATTTTAGTTTAATATGATCAAGTTGATAACGGATTGATCTAACGGCTGACTAAGCGCAGTATAACTGAGTGATAGATTCATTGCTACTATTGACCCGCATCGGATTTTTGTTCGGTAATTTGGTGATAATTCGCATTATCCAAAAATAAACCTGCAGTTTGCGACATGCCTTTTGAAGTCAAAAATTCTCTAACCTGAAAAATATCTTTTCTGTACAATTTAATTTTTCCAATTGTAATAAAGTAAACAAATTTGCAATGAAACCAGTTCTTAGAAATAAATGATGTCATCCATGCATTCTGACTAGATTTGTATATTTCTGCATATTTCTGTATTTCTAATTTTTCGATTTGCCAACCACCAATAATCTGTCAAACCACCAAAGAAAATTATTCGCTCTTTACAATGCGAATAACTTTTTCATGTCTTACATATATCACTACATGAAACAAGAGTGTAATTTGGAAGCATCCAATAATATTAACCGGATCCGTCGGCGTTATAGATTTGATCAAGGATCAACCCATGCTTATAAACGTAATATCAAACTCTTGCACAAATGGATCAACAAGATGAGGTTTAGAAGACAATTTTTCGCCAATTATCTTTAAAAATCAAATTTTATGTGAACGCTTAAACTTTTTAAACTTCAGCTGGTTTGGTAAATTATGGAGTGCAACTTAATAACTTTTGATCGCAAAATCTCTGTTGATATTGTGACACTGTTCTTTCTTTGTTTTAAAAACCACTCATAAAGCATCTTTAACCTCACTTTCAGTTGAACTTACGAAATTTTTAAGGGCATTTTTTTGATTTTCAATCCGGTAAACCGAAGACTTATGCAATTTCTTATGCAAATTGATTTTATGGAATCTTCGCTTTAGAGTTTTTTTTAAATCTCTAGTCTTTAAGTAATCGTCAGCTTTAAAAAATTTTGAATTTTTTCTATATTTAAATAATTTACTGCAAACACCACACAGCCACAAATAAACTGGTAAAATAAAACACTAAAATTCTCTAAAACACTAAAATTCTCTCTTAAAATTCTCTTCTAAAAAGAAGTGCATCGTTTTCAGGAAAATGCAACCATTAAACAAAAACAGCTTTCTCAAGCTTTGTCAAAATGCCATGAAGAGCTTTTATTTCAATGTGTGAGAGTTCAATGTCCCAGCGGCACCATTATGCCAGCGCTGAAAAAGTAAGCGAAGAGGTAATAGCTCTTCGTTTTTATTTTTCTTTCTTATCGACATTTGTGTTCGACATAGGCAATTTCGGGGTTGAAATTATAAAAGAATGAAGAACAAAAGCATGAGTTAAGAATTTCTTGTTTTGCCTACATTGTATACATTTAGTCTGCTTTTAATTTTAGTGAAGTGCGAACAGTGAACAATTTTTAATTCTTAAAATCAAATAAAAAACAAAAATATAAATAAAATATAATTTGTAATTTCACATAAACTCACTGTAAGTATATGCAAAATGAAGTAAATATATTTAAAATGATAATTGAAATTTTTGTTTTGTATTATGTAGATGCTACTGCGTCAAGAACGATTAATTGACCAATGTGCTGCGAATGCAGTCATTCTAAAGCAAGGGGTAATCAGCTGTAGTCATGTAGTCAGCTGTTTCAATTGGAAAATTTTACAATTCGAACTGAGGAGGATTTAATTCAATTTAATGAAGAAATCACTGCCGTTGAAGTAGTTGTAAGTTAAATTATATATGTTTCTTACTTTCAGTTTCAACTTATTAATATATTCACATGTAACAATTTTACTAATTCATACATTTCTTTTCATCTATAACGTTATTTATAGACTGCATCAATGAGACGCGTTATTAAAAAACAACCAATTACGCGAAAAATTTCCTGGAATTTTGGAGAATGGTACCTAAGGCAAGAAGTCCTTAAGAGCGTTAGAGAATGTGACAGCAGCACTTTTTGGTATGGTATATTGTACATAATTAACTTTAATTAACAATAACATACTTTTGTATTTACAGATGCTTTAAGTACAGATGGTAAGCCGGAACAAGTGATCGAGTCGAGTCTGGAAATCTCTTCAAGGTTTTAGTAACAATTTCCAGAAAAATATTCATATATATAAGTATGTTATATTTTTTTATGTAAATATTAATATTTTATATGTATAAATCATAAATATAAAATATAATTTATCCAAAAAAATTTATAGTATTTTATTTAAAAATCAATAGCATAGGTAAAATTTAAAAGGTAAGCGAACATGTCAGCGCTGATATGTTGCATTATAAATTCGAAAAGGTAAGCTAACATGTCAGCGCTGATATGTTGCATTACAAATTCGAAAAAGTAAGCGAACATTTCAGCGCTGATATGTTGCATTACAAATTCGAAAAGGTAAGCGAGCATGTCAGCGCTGAAATGTTGCATTACAAATTTGAAAAGGTAATCGAACGATTCAGCGCTTGCCCGCAATGACATGCACGTGTTAAAGTAATTAGGAGTTTCCTTTGAATAATCAGCGCTAGGCATTTCCCGCTGGGGTATTTCTTTGCATTTGGAACGCAATCGAACGTCGTTGGGACGCATTCATACAGAATGTGATGAAATGTATCGCATTCGAGCTTGAAATTTTGTATGCGAGAATGAGCCATTCTCTTCTCATTTTCGATTTTTTACCAAAATGAGCCATTTTAGGCCAGTGTAAATGACATATAAGAAATTCGCTTCATAGCAATTAAATAAATTAATTAAAAAAATATAACCAGTATTATATAAAAATGACAAAGATCGTTAAAAGTCTTTGGTAAAATCTTTGTAAGAGTGAGCGGAAGACAGTTTTTAAAATTTTGACTATTCTGTTTTTTAAACAAAGTTTTATCATTTATAATTAGTGGTAAAAAACTTCATTAGTATAATATTTGTGCACTTAATTGCAACTTTGGTGCACTTGTCGTAAAGGATTTTTATTGTCAATAAAAGCAAAACAAATAGCGAAATTTCTCAAAAAGTGCTTTTATATAGACCGGGTGAAAGAAATTAGAACGCGCCATTGTGTAGCGTAAGGCTCTTTGTTTTTGCACTGAGTGATATTTTCACCTCGATACACAAAATATCGAACATTATGTGAATAATAAAATTATATATCCGATATTTTGAATCACTCTCAGTTTCTTTTTTTTATATTCTTTGATATTTACTATGCGCTTTTGATCTCTATTGACAGCTGTTTTTAAATGTGTGTGATTAAGCGGTACATAATAATTTTGCAAAATTACAATTTACTTCAAAATTCATTCTTGGATGAAATTGATCTTTACTAAAACTGAAGCAAAACGATGTGATGTGTTAATGTGATTTTCGAGTATTGTTAACGATTGAATAATTGTTTATTTAATTCTGCATAAAAAAACAATGAAGGAAATAAACTTTAAACTATTTGATCTGAGTTTTGATGAGTCATAGAACTTAAAAGAATTAACATGAACTATAGTATATATTTGCCTTCTTTTAACAGTGAAATATACACAAAACTAAATATGCGTCATATAATGTAAAAGAAATGTGATATTCAGTTTACTGAATTCTTATTAAAACTGGTAAGATATACATGTATATATATTTTGTATTGAATAAACCGTTTAATAAATTAAACATAATTCAATTTCACAATATTATTTATGTAAAACGCAAGAAAATCTCGAATATTTTTCCGCCATTCCCTATTGAAACATAAGTACAGAAGAACTTAGTATCAAAATTGAAGCACATACAGACAAATAATATATAGATTCCGAATGCAGAACTAAAAATGATTCCACTAATATCATAGCAGGCAGATCGAATAGCTAGAAAGGCACATATAAGCTTTGGATTGTAAAATCTAAATCTAAAGCTGCAGATAACTAATGATCTTAATGAGGGTATGTATTATACGTATGAGAGAGTGTATTATATAGTATAGAAATTGGTGCTATATTTTCGTTTCATATTGTTGCACAGCAATTCTGGTAAAGATCGTTAGAAGTTCATCGCAAGATCTTTTTAAAATCGACCGGAAACCGTTTGTAAGATTTTAGCTATTCTGGTGCAAGGCTTTCGAAAAAAGTTTTATCATTTGTAATTTGTGATAGAAAGTTTTTTTGTTCTATTTCTTATATGGTGAAATCAAAAACAGCTGCTAATCGTCACTAAAAGCCGTAAGAGGCATATTCCATTATTATAATTATTTATACATAAATAATTATTTCCTGAATTAAGCGCTGACATGAAGAAAGTAACAACAGCTATTGCTGCTTATTTTTTTAAATAAATGATAATGAATGTATTATATTGTACTGCTATTTGCCGTAGTATTGTGAACTATTTCCGTTGCTCCGAACGAAGTCATTTGGAAGCATGAATTAAATATGCGAATGGACTTCAGGAACAGATTTGAATCTTCATGCGTGCCAATGAGCAAGCCGTGCAATGGTTCTGGTAGTCTATCAATTTCTGGTAGTTGCACTTTTTCTGATGCGCAACACAACCTGTCTGATTCTTAATAAGGGCATTCTTTGTCCATAGAACCAATCATCACTTTAGGATGTCGAACGCAAAACGAAAGAAACGAAGTGGATGTAAATGCTCGATGTACTTGTTGGCGTAGTTATATAAAATAATAAAAAAAATGTTTTCTTTTTCAAATATATAAAAAAAAATTTATATCAAAAAATTAAAAAAATTTGCAGTATTGTCCTATTATATTGGATACTTGTGTGATTTATATGGAGACGATTTTCTGTTTTACATTCTTATGTTTTTTGACTTTTGATGCTTCGACACGAAAGGACAATCAGTAAAGTGAATTTTTTTGTTTTTATGTTCACAACATTTTATTTCTTTTTGGATAATGAGGAAATAGAGTGAAAAGGGATCACGTACTTATAATTGTTGCTATATTTTCGATTTATATTGTTGATTTCCCTCACAAATATGAATTTACTATCGCTTGAAAAAGTAATATATACCCATATTTGAATATTTCTGGACATATCAAGGAAAACTTGACAAAATTGTGGACCTCCAGAGTGTGCTATCATGTTTCGATTTAACTGAAGTTTATTAATGTTTGAAAAGTACTTAGCGTCTACATTATATATAAATATAACTCCATAATATAAATAACTCCCTGAGGTGAATATTTGCCAGTTATTTCGATTTTAAATTTTATATTTTTATGTTTTCTTGAGAAGAATGCATTATTTCCTTTCTTGTATTGCACTCCATTTGCTGTCTTCTTTTATGGTCCACGATCTAAGTACAGATCCAGAAGCATACAATTTAACGATTTGATGTTCATAACACATATTACTCTTGCAAATCATATCTTAAGTATTTGTATAGTTTATTCGACAGGTTTCATAAATATGTATGCCTTTATATTCAATATGCATGGATTTCTCATTAACTCTTTCTGAAAAAAAATAACTTGCATTTTGCATATTTCGAAGAAAGTATCTGTCGGCTAATTAAAGATGTTCCAAACAAAACAGAGTCATAGGTTTTTGTAATTAAAACATCTGTCATATTTGAAGATGTTGGTAAGAGCTCAGTCATTGTATCAAAACAATTGTCGCAAAATATGTTCAACTTTTTTTGTAACTTCAAGTACCAATACCCTGCAAAATAACGAATTGCGTTATCACTTATTGGGTTATCGAATTTTTCATTAATACTAACATTTTTTAATGGATCTACTTCGGGTTCAGCAATATTAGTGTGCGAACTTCAGGAGCATATCTTTTATTAGAATCTTTGTATTGTCTGGTATTTAGAATACCGCATTCCAATCTAAATCAAAATACTGATTACACTCGTAAATGTTTGGATTACTTTCGTTAACATTTCGAGATCTTACTAATGAGACAAAACTTTCAACTTGATCTTGATTAAATTTTCAGAGATATATATAATACACCTCATTATGGAATGTGAAAATATTTGATAAAATTAGCAGAATTGTTCCATCCCATTAAAGCAATATATACTTTTGATTTAGTAGATTTCACCTAGGAAATGTAGGCCTCATTTCTAATAAAAATTGAATATTTTTATTGCCGCTTTCCTTTAATGGAAATTTTCCATTCTAATGTCTAATAAGCAGTCCATTTTTTGCAGCAACCTGTAGTTGACTTAGACGATGTTGTTATTCGTCTTTGAACTTATTGAAATATAAGAAAGTCTCAATACCAGCAACAATATGGCTTATTATTTTTACAACAGCCGAACGCTTATTTTCTCAAAATCTGTCGGAGACATATATCATTACGTTAATTTTGAACAAACCTTAGTTGCGCCTTGTCGATCCATATTATATAAGTTCTCAACGACCTGCTTAGAAATAATTCCATCTGGAGTAGCGATCAAAAGTCGACCACGAAAAGTCTTAAAAAGCTGTAACACATAATATTACGTCGAGTAAGTTTTTTCTTTGCAGCGAAATGTCGGCTTAAATTGAGAAAATCCAAGAATATTAAACAATCTATGATTAATAAGACCTTTAATCCAATGAGCTCCGAAATGTCTGTACATTTAAATAATTATTTTCTTAAGTCTTTTTTCTGCATTTTTTATGGACAAGCCACAGAATATAAAACCTATTTAAAGTTTCCACTTAAACTTCTTACCATAAAAAGCAGAATAGTCTTTGCTAAGTATGCTTTTCTTTCACCATTTGCACAGTTGGTAACCCGTCTATACGTTTCTGCAATTCATTACATATCAGAGCTTTTTGAACAAACAACTTATCAAAAATCCACTTTTAAATGAAAGACGTTTTCATAAATGTTTATTTTTATGAATTAAGTAACATTTCGATTTTTATAACAACCAAATTTATATTAATTTCATATTAATTTTTTTCGGGTATTTAATTTCCATTAGTAGTTTCGAAGCTCACTCATATGACATGTTTGAACTTTGCCTTTTACCTAATCTCTCAAGAACAGTCGCTGCTTTGTTAAGACCATTTATATATCTACCTTTTCACTTATCTGTATTCTCCCATAAGTATAAGACTTAAGATACTGCAGAGTTAAAAAATATAGCAAGTGATACCCCTCTTCCTTCTTTGGGGGCACTGTAAAAAAAGTCGACGTTGCGTTGCTTTTAAAAAGTAGCTTCTATTTTCTTCGTGTAACCTCTGCCTCCACAGACAATCTGCCTGCTGAGGTATTTAAAACTAATCCCCTAGTGCTAGCTGACACACTCCAAGCTCTCTTTGTACAAAACTAGAATACTGAAGCTGTGCCCCAAGAGTGAAATGATAGTCTGATTATCAAGATTCCTAAGAAGGGTGATAGAGGGACTGCAACAATTGACAAGGGATCTCGTTCATCTCTGTCGCTTACAAAATATTTAACAAAATTCTTTCAAACCACATTCTCGACCCAATCGACTGCCAACTCCGACAACAGCAAGCGGGTTTTAACCCTAATATATTTACCATGTGTTCAAATTTGAACATGTGTCTGCGCGCTAATTACCTAAGTAACATATTCAGTTATTTAGGTATTAAATATTTTAGCATTTTATTTAATATTTTAGTATTTTATTTTATATTTTAGTAAATTAAATTAATTTCTAACAAAGGTTTTTCAAAGCCTTAAAATATTTTTGTTACCAAGGTTCTTTTAGACATTAAAATATAAAATGTAATAACAGGGACTAGTTAATATAACTAAAGAAAAAGGAAGTAATTAAATAAGGTAACAAAGAAAAAGGTTAAATGACATTTCCTTTAACCTTGTACCTAAAAGAAAAACCTAATAAAACCTAATTATTAAACTATGTAAATTTTAGTATTTAAGAGCAAAAATTATAGAAATAAAGAGAGTCTTATATTTATTGTAAAACCGAACAGACGTGTGTTTTTAGTTGTAGTTTCTTGCACACCATGTGATGATATTTATCTTATAGAATAATATGATAATTATAGAATAATAATTAATAATACTTTTCGATTTTACTGAATAGCTGAAACTCCAGTTTACATAAATCATCAAGGAAAATATTAAAAAAACACAAAAAATGGAAAATATAACTGACATAGTCAACATTGGTAAGTGTTTATATACTAGAATAAGTAATAATATGTTTTACTCAAATATATTTGCATTAGTTTATTAATTTACCCACGTATCAATAAGTTTTATCAAATTAAAAATATATAGCCTTATACATAAAAAGTTATAGTAGGTTTGTAATACATTTTATCAAAAACGTTATTCATAAATGTTATTTAACAATGTTATAAAGCATTTATAAAACTCTATTCATAAACGTTTAATAAAGTTAAAATGCTGTTATAAAATGTCAAAATTTATAATAGGTTCATACCTTCTATAACCAGTGAACGAAAATAAACAGTACAGTATCGTAGTGTACTGCTCATGTCCGAAACACATCAAAACATTTTTAAAGTTTGTGTCCGCGAACACAAACTTTATTTTTAGAGTTTGTGTACTTTTAAAGAAGGTAGTGCTCATTATAACGATCTTTTTACGAAGATACTTTTTTTCACCTGTTTTATATTTCATGGAAATGACTGATCTTTCTGGATAGAAATTAACTGAAGATTTTACCTAACACAAACAAGATGCACTTTGCATAGTCATTCGCGTCCCCCTCACTTGTTTACTTTTTCTATTTAAAAATCTTGCGTTTTTTATCAATTATTAGTTTGTCAAAGACATTATTTAGGTAATAAAATAATATGAGGCAACATTTTTCTGTCAAAATAATTGAAAATATATATTTAGCTTTCTACCTGCCTTTTATATTTACTTAGGAAAAATTTGCATATTAACTGACATGTATTGTTACAATAAAATCTATATATTCCTACGCAATAATCCAAATAAATAAACAGAAATTCTTAAAAAATTTTTATATTTTTTACCGAATTATATAAACAATTTTAAAATTTTGTTTTTTGCTTTTATTGGCATTATAAATATAATACAAATCATCCAACCGCAATAAAATATTTAATATATGTAATTCATTCCCTAATATTAAATATGCATCAATAAATGCATACACAATATCTTTATTTAAAAACACAAACAAAATACATGCAATACAAATGCAAACAAAATTTTTTCTTCTTCTTATGCAAACGAACCAACAACAATGCACATTAAAAACGTGTCCAAATCGTTTTGTTCGACAAACTCTAAAAAACCACTACCTTAGGAAAATGATCACTAAAAAGTACACTACCTTCGGCAAAAGATAACTAAAATGAGCACTACCTTCGTGAAAAGATCGTTATAATGAGCACTACCTTCGTGAAAAGTACAAAAACTCTAAAAATTGTTGAATTGTTTCGGACTTTTTTTAATGTACTGTTCGTTTAGTGTTTTTTAACAAAGATGACAAACAGTACACTATGTTTTGTACTTTGGTGTTTGTTTTCGTTCACTGTCTATAACAGCATTTTAAGCAAAATTTTTGGTTGTGTAGTAATTTTTATTGGCTCGTTACAATTAAATATGGATCCTATAAGCAAAATTATTGTGCAGGTTTTTTAAATGGAATAACCAATACATTTAACTGTTGATCATTTTTAGTCGAGCAAACCGGGCATACCACATAGTGACATAGTGAACGATGCGTTAGGCAAAATCAAAAACTTTATCATTTTTGTCATTATTATCTTTTTTTATCACCATTATTAGAACCATATGTTTAATCAATTATCGAATTAAACTACTTTTAGAATTAACGACAAATGTTTTTGTATATTCTACTTTTAGTCATTTTTTAATGGTATATATATAACACTACTGAAATTCTCACTTATGAACTAACTCAAAAATATCTATAAATCAGAAAACTAAATTCTAGTTTAATGTACTCCCTTCAATAGTTAACAAACCTATAAATAAATTATAATTCTAATATTATGAATAAAAATATCCAAAAGTTTTAAAACTATTTTAGTAACATGCAAGATCTTATTATTTTATACAGCATTTAACAATCCTAACATGAAAAAGAGCTCAATTGTACTGTTCATCGATTTTCATACCCTCTGTACCAGTGGCTTCCAAACGGAGGTCCGCGAGATCGTTAAAAATAGTCTGTAAATCAAATGTAATACAAATGGGTACATATCTTTGTCTACTGAGACCTCACGTTTTAGAAAATGAGCACAAAAAATCCAATATATATCGCAAAACGCGATATCTTCAACACGCCAAATGTGCCCTCTGACTTTTTTGCTTCAATACTTAATCATTTTTTGTACTAGAGCACAACTATTTTTCCTTAATTTAAACTGGCAGTTGTTCTTATTTCATATTGTTCCTTATAGTGCTGTAGAAAGGTTCATTCTTAATAGTTATGTAATTAACATTTGTTTTATAGTTATCAAAGGTTTATAAAATGTTTATGAATAAGGTACATTATAATGCCATTATAAAGTTAAAATACATTTTAACTAAAATGTATTTAAAAAGCATTTTAAGAAATTTTTATGAAGTAGGCCGATAATATTTAAACAAATAAAAATATTCGCTTTAGCTTAGTCGATACATTGATATCCTTCACACAGACAGTCAGATGTCAAATCGATTTACTATCATTTAACAGTACTTTGAATAAATGTCAGATAAAGTTTTCTAAATGTTAATGATTCCTAAACAGAGTGGAAAAAAGTCTGGGACTTTATAAACTATAAATATTATTCGTACAGGTTTCCGAAGAGCAGAAGAAAATATACCGATTGTTTTATAATCTATTTACTGTTAATATAAAAACCAGTATCTCAGTATTTACGCCAATCACCAGAAATTGGTTTTGAATTCAAACAAGCTAACTTTGAATGGACTTTGAATGGTCTTTGAATGGACTTATTGATACCATAGCATTTTTTCTTCAATTCTTTACTCTTTACTCTTGATAAAGTGTTTTAGCGTATTAAGAGAGCTTATTATTAGTTGTAATGCACTTTATTACTCAGTTTTGTGCTGTATACATCACGTCGCTCACCATTTTCCCAAGCAAAAGTTGAAATTCACACACACGCAGAGGACGATTTTTATTTCTTCTTTCCAGTCATCTCCCTGCGAAATCAAAGTAAGTCAGATATTATTAGAGACCGTTGTAATCAGGTTGATTTTTATGCTTGATTTTTTAAGTACAGAGGTGTTTACACTGTAAGCAAATAAAGGATTCCAACTCGTAGGTGTACAAATAGTTATTGGAAACACTAATGCTTCTTTATGTTAGCATTCACATATTTTCAGATTAACTTTTCCTTATTTTCAAGAATTTTGTACTTGTACGATGTATAGGATTTTAAATTTTTTCGAAATTACGACTGTAGTTTCAATTGAATAGAAACCGAACTATTAAATTTAATAGTTATTTATCCAGATGTCTGTTTAGGTCGCCACATCGGATTCGTTACTACTTAGTTGTTCAATTAACATGCACTAACTCTTTTTGAACGTCTTCATTTCTAGTCCATAGTGTCGACTTTTCCATCAGTAGGATTGAATTTTTTTTCATAGCACTGGCACTAATACTTCTTTCATATTAGTGAAGAAATGCATAGATTTGATGCAAAATATGAAGACTTACCTATGTGTTTCAACATTACAGTACAGTACAGTATGCCGTTGCCAAAGTCTTCTAGCTTTTCTTTTCCGTTTTAATAATACCTCTATCGTTTTTGTCACACCCATTTTTTAGGTTGTTTTTTCAATTCTTATCGAATCTACTTCAGCACCCATTGAGATTACTTTAGAAAATTGATTAACACAATTATTAATTTCATTATTCACTTTGAACTAAGCATGTTGTGGTATATGACTAGAAACATATTTACGAAATTTTAACCAGTTTACATATTTCGTCAGACTTTGCGTTTGGATAGTTCTATTCTGTTGACATTGTACCGTTATTATTTTTGGTGAGTGGTCTGATGACTGTTCAACTGATGGAAATGCGGTGATTGTTGATAGTTTAATAGTTTTGCTTAGACCAAAGTCAATAAGGTCTGGGACTTTTTGTCGATCAGAAGGCCTGTCAAGTGAGTTGCCTGTCCAGTTAAAATGACATCGAGATCTTCACTTTTCACAACTGCTAGAAATATCCGTCTTCTTGGTGTTATTAGTCTTGAACCTTAGAATGAAATTTATAACTGAGTCTTTTAAAATAGTTTTGGAAGTCTTGAACTTTTATATTGTAGTTGGGTGGACAATATATTGCAGCTATTACGACTTTTTCTCCGTATTCATCAAATCGGATATATAAGTGAAAATAATTTTGTAATTAAATAATTAATAACTGAAATTTATTTAATTAAGTCTTCAACAAAGCTAAAGACAATTTTTATTTTTTTATTTTATAATTTTAGTTTGAATGGAAATAATTTGTAATTAAATTTGCTGTTATGTTAATATAAAACTTGTATTATTAAAAGATTTTTTTGCATGTATTATTTTGTGTTTAACATCAATTCATACTATAAAATTTTAATATTTACCTAAACATTTTCCTACTGTATAGATCAGACATATCAACAACCTATTCAATCTTCAACGAATGTATCACACGAAACTGCAATTCGGAATGTGCTTGAGAATGCATTTAACTCTCAGACCGAAGCTTATAATGATGAAAAGGAGCGTATTAAAGTTATTATTATTGAAGAAATTACAGAGCGCAAGTCCAACTTACTTCAAGTTAAAAATTGTATAGAGAGGGAATATGAGAAATCTCTCAGTTCCATTGATAATGCATATATCGAACAAAAATACATGAAATACTGCACAGAGCTTTGGATGGAAAAAGTAACAGCCCTAGTACAAGCAACAACTGAGTGTAATGATACCAAACTAATTCAAACAATATTAAGTTCAATAGATAAAATTAAAACGTTAAGTGACATTCCTGAATCATTCAAGCAACTTGAATATTATAAAAATTTAGTAGATCATTATCATTTCATAAGTGAAAACAAGAAAAAAAATCTTATAAGTCAATTTAAGGAAGAATGCCTGGTACCAATATTTGCCTATAGTGCCACTGCACAAAAAGAATCGATATTTTTAGAAGCTTTCGTTGACTTACTAAGTTCTTCCAGAAATATACAGTCAATTATTAATAAACTGAGACTAGCAGATTTTTGTATGGGTATAATATATTTTGATGACCTGATCGATATTATTTTGAAATATAAAGGCGACAATTTTAATGAAAAACTTACAATTTTACAAAAAGCATCTACAGAACTTAAAAACGAAGAAAATTTCTTTTTGTTAGACAAGTTTAAAGAAGTTATAAGTGGCTATATAAAACCAATAAAAATTGAAGAGAAAATAATAGATAATCGACAAGTTATTGAAGTGATTAGAAATAACATTAATATCACTGAAATTTTAACACAATTAGAAGTTCTACTTAAAAAAAAGTCCAGTATAGAAGAAGTGCGTTTTATAGGTGCAGATGTTATGCACATTGGAACAAATCTTGATAGTGAAGTTTGGAAAGGAAAAAATATAATTATTTTAACAAAAGCATTAAAAATTCATAATAAAGTATTATGGAACGTTTCTGGAAATAATAATTTACATTTTTATAAAAATAATGCAGGTGTTACATACAATGGTACTCCTGGTGATGGCAGCGATGGTTATCCTGGAGAGAGTGGTGGTAATGTGTTGATTTTAGTGAACAAAATAGAAAACCCCGAAAACTTCACTATTATTTCCAATGGTGGAAATGGTAGTGTTGGTCAGGATGGAGGAGATGGGAAAAATGGAGTTGATGGAAAAGGTATAATAAATTCCGATTTTTGTGAAAAGTTTCCACCCGTTTCTAAGCTTTTTTGCTATTCACGTTGGAAAAATGTAGAAAAAACTATTAATAGTATCAAATCTGATTTACAAGAAATAAAAATTGGATGGTATAGAGATTGGACTTTCTGTGATCCTTACACTAAAAATGTTTTCAATGATATTCATGATGCAATTATTGCTGATGGTGATATTTTTCTAAATACTATCACAGAACAAGGAAATGAGATCACATTTTCCTATCAGGCACCAAATTTGTTTTACAATTGTCAATCATTTTTACTTTACAAAGGCTCATTAGGTAAACCCGGAAGTCCAGGTGGAAGAAATGGAATAGGCGGTCAAGGTGGATATCCCGGCGATATTATAGTAAGAAATGTAGCAACAAATCAGCAAATTCTTGTGACAACACAATCCAAAGAAGGCACAGCGGGAAAAAATGGAAAAGCAGGAAAATATGGTAATCATGGGAAAAATGGTTGGGATATGGGTTATATTGACTATTCAATTGGTGATAAATGGCCAAAAATTTTCGGAACAGATCAGAACAGTAAACTGATGTTAAAATACCATGAAGATAATTCATCAGAACGAGTTCATTGTCCTTACAAAATTGACAATTATGATAAATATTCATATGTTGAAATCACATCTTCGAATATCATGGACAAAAAGGAAACAAAATATGAAGAAAGGAACAGTGATGAATTAAATCGAAACAGACAGCATCATGCGCAAGCTGTTCGAAAAAAAAATATTTCTCAATCTAATATAGAAGCCAATTACTCTGTTTATTGTAACAACACTACTGATAAAAATTCTATAAAAAGTATGCAACTTGAAATAGAAAAAATCAACCAACAAATTCGTCAAGCAATGACAGAAAATCAGGAAGCACAGAAAAACCAAACGACTGAGTCCAAAATTGAGTGTAAATGGAAGTTCATTAAACAGAAAGATTATAATTATAAAGAGCGGAAGGACTTAAAACGCATTATTAGATCTGATCGAACTGATCGAAAATCTATTCAGGATTTGCTCAACGAGGTTAAATGTCCACAATCAAATTTCGACAACTGGTTCCATTTACAAGACATTGAGATAAAAATCGACGAAATAAATGAGTTCTTATCATATTTTGAAATATGGAAAAGTGAAATCCTTAAAAAAGGAAGTAAGTTGACTAATACACAAAATAAATTGAAAGAAATAGAATTACTTTTGATTGACAAGTATAGATTTGCCACTCTTCAAGTAATTGCAATGCAACTAGTATCCCATAATAAAGTAAAATCTAAAATAGAATTGACTGCCGAAACTGTATTAAAGTATCTTGTTAAAGACAAAACAAAGAACAACGACATATCTCATTCAATTTTGGGAACTCTAAGTCAATATCTATATGAAGACAAGAAGGAGCAACGTGAAAAGATCGTTAACTATTGTGAAACAGATTTGCTGAGTTGTGATGAAAACATTCAAAGTTTTAAACGTTCCATTCAAGTATTTATTTTAGAAGAACGAAAATCTGAAGTAGATTTTCTCGACTGTTTAAAAAAATATTTTAATGAATATACTCAATTTTTAGAAGAGAAGGATCACAAATTCAAAACATTTTTTTGTGCATTTAAACGAGAACTAACTAAGCCGTTGCATAGAAAAGTATTAGATTTGTGGAATCGAAGCATTAAAGACGTATCTTTAAAACAAGAACTAAAAAATAAAATAAAAAACGATAAATTATTAAATGCTCTGTATATACGTTTTAATAAACAACTTACTCTTCAATATGACTGGGAAAAATGTTGTAAAGATAAAGATGTTCTGAAGGAGTACTATAACTATATTCGAGGAAAAGGGCCACTATCTAAAAGTTATAGAGAATTATTGGCTCATTTATTTAATGTGAATATTAGATTGTACATTTCTGATATAAAGTACGATTTATCTCTCCGAGACAATCACAATCCTTCATCTAAAATTGCTATTCATGCAGTGCAAATTTCAAATGAATTCATACAATATAGTATCGACGAAAATTATTTAAAACTTGTTGAAGAACGTGAATATAGTAATATTCTTTTCAATAACATATTAAGAGACCTTCAGTCTTGTAATAAAAAACAAGATTTCGATGATTATTTAAAGAAAAAGCTTTTTCTAAAACAAAATATTTCTCTACAAAATGAAAAAAAAGTTGATTCTGAAGAAACCGAAGTAGAAAAAATTATGGAATTTTTTTCTGATCAAAAAGAACAACAACTAAAGACACGGCTGGAAAAAATCAAGTCCCAATACATCGATCAACAAAAAATTTTGCATTATATACTAAAGCGGTTCTGCACTGAAGGAAGAAATATATCATATGAAGAATTCAGCTACCTGATTAACTCAATTTTAAACTCTGTTGTTGAAAACAGAAAGGAATTGAACATTTTTTGTTGGATTACTGCCGCATATAACCAACGAAACTGGATCGACGAATTGTTATTATTACAACTTGAAGACCATTTTAGGAGTCCATTAAAAGAAATACGTAAGTGGCGGAAGTACCTATCGAAAATAGAAAACAAATATATAGTATTATCATTTGGATTAAAATTGAGTCAAGGAAGTAAAATATCTTACAAATTTGTCGGAAACACGTTACGTATGTTATGTATTATCTCGACAGAAAAAATTTCTTTGGAAGGACTAGAACTATCTGACTGGCATTATACTCTTAAAGAAAAATACTGGTTGTCGAAATTGCGGCGATTAACAAATTGGCAAGAAAGCGACCAGCTCACAATAGCTGCTTATTATCTTTTGTCTGTAGAAAACTCCTTCGGTACCGATTTAACAGAAAAATTTCTTAATATTCTGGAAAAGAAAAAACAGAATCTATCTTCTGAAGAACTTCATAACATCTTATCAAATTTTCATAACGAAAAGTGGATACTGGATAAGGAAGGATTAAGAAACCTTCAAAGCTCCAACATAAATGAATGGTCACAATTTATGCAACTGAAGTTTATTAATAATAGCAGAGAAAGAAATTTTTCGGATCTGGTAAAAATAATTACAAGTAGCGCAAATACTTCAAAAAAAATTTCTAAGAACTTAAGAGCAATTGCAGATTCCAATAAAAATATTTACAATGAAAATTACATATTCAACAAAAAAAATGTGAATTGTTTTACAGAAAATGATATTAAAACTTGGGTTAAGAAAAATTCAGGTTGTAACGAATTGAATGTAACACTTTTAGTAATCAATAGAGCAATACAGCTAAAGCGAGGATTTAAACTCCGTGCCACTCAAATATTAACTGTGCTAGCATTTTTAACCACCGATCAAAGTACCTTAGCTCAAGTATCAACCGGAGAGGGAAAAACTCTCATAATTGTAGCAATATCACTTATAAAACTACTACGAGGAGAAATGGTGGATATAGTAACAAGTTCTTACGTGTTGGCCAAACGCGATTCAGAAACTAATAAGGACATATACAACTTGTTTGGTTTTGATGTGTCTCACAACTGCAGTGAAGACATTGAGAAAAGAAAGGAAATTTACTCGTGCAACCAAATAGTATATGGTGATCTATCCAATTTCCAACGTGACTATCTATTGGATAGGTTTTACGGAAAAAATATTTTGGGACATCATGACTTTGCCAACATAATAGTTGATGAAGTAGATAGTATGCTACTTGATAAAGGTAACAATATGCTATACCTAACTCACGATATCGCAGACTTAGATAAACTAAGTTCTGTTTTTATTTATATTTGGCAATGGATTAAGAGACCAGTTAAATATTCTGACGATTTTATATCTCTATTTGATACTGAAGCAATAAAAGAATCAGTATTAAACGAGCTATATGGATATGTGAAAAAAGAAGACATCGGAAATCTTGGATCTGATTTAAGTGATCAACATAAAACTATTATATGGCAACGTTTAGTGAGTGCTGATATTATAGACAATCATGGTAAATTATTGAAGGAAAATATTAATGACAGTCAACTTAATGAAATACTTTTACCCGAGTTTATTACCTATAAAGATCGACTCAATTATCTATTAATCGAATGTATTAAAAGAAATACATATATTCGTGTTCCCAATTATCTCAAATCATTTGTTGAAAATCATCTTGATTCATGGATCAACAATGCCATCACTGCGTTCTTTATGAAAGCAGAACGAGATTATGTAGTGGATATAGACAGATCTGGAACTTATGCAGATCGTAACCCAATTATTACAATTATTGATACAGATACTGGAACAGATGAAGTGAACTCCCAATGGGATGAGGGACTACACCAGTTTTTACAACTTAAACATGGATGCAAAATAACTTCACAAAGTTTAAAAGCTGTTTTCATCTCTAATATTTCATTTTTTAAATTATACCGCACTTTATATGGACTAACGGGATCATTAGGATCACAAAGAGAAAGAGACTTATTAAAAGAAATACATAAAGTTGACTTTGTGACTATTCCAACAGCTGTACCAAAACAATTTCAAGAGTATAAACCTATTCTTTGTATTAACAAGAAGGAATGGATAACTTATATAAAACAAGAAGTAAATAAAATCATAGAAGAAAATTATCGTTCTGTTTTAATCATCTGTGAGACTGTACATAATGTGGAAGTTTTATACAAAGCATTCGGAGGAAGAACTGCAAGAGGTGTTCACAAATATGTTCGTGATTACGAAGAGTTCGATGTAGCTCAAGGCAAGAAGGAATTAGATCAGGGACAGATTATTATTGCAACTAATTTATCTGGTCGGGGTACTGATATAAAAATTACTAAAAAGTTAAGGGAGGCAGGAGGATTGCACATTTGTCTAACATATTTACCAAGAAATATTCGAGTTGAACAACAAGCGTTCGGCCGAGCAGCACGATGTGGAGATAGAGGTTCCGGTCAGCTTATTATTCTAGATTCATACGGAACGGAAAAAAGTATTGCAAAAGTATTAGATCTGAAGAAGGAACGTGATATAAACGAAGTATATCGTATATCAAATATAAAAACATACTACGACTTTCAAATTTATGAGGAAGAAAGGTGTTTTAATGAGTTTAAAAAACAATTCGAGGAACTGAAAAAAATTCTTAGTGTTCAAAACGTGCGTTCTGAAATTAAAGAAATTCTCCTACGAAGCTGTTTAGATCAGTGGACTTTTTGGTTAGATAAAAATTGTCATCATATAAAAATGATATCAGATGAGCAACAAAAACATAATTTTTATAAACGTTTTGATGATTTCATTACAAAATTGAAAAATTTCAACTCTGAGTGTAGCAGAAATTCCTCCGTTCATCGTAGAAACTATAACGAAAATTGGTTAAATTGGGTCGATGGAAATCCGGTTCAAATGATCAAACTTGGAAAATATTTCTCGCAAAATAATGAGCACAAAAATTCAATTAAAGATGCTATTCGTTTATTTGACGATGTAATTAGAATGGAACCATATTTTAGCGAAGCTGCTCATTACTACAAAGCATTTGCGTTAACGAAATGTAATAGGGCGAGTTCAAAACAATTTGAGATGGAGTTACAAATAGCTGCTAAACTCATAGATGAACATATCAGGTTTGTTATGATTACGTCTGGTATCATAAATGAGATTAAGGAAAACAATAATAGTATTATACGAATAAATGCCTTTAGGGAACAACAAGAGATCACACTTAAACTTTACCATATGTTTTTACAATCTATAGATGATATATTTGGTCACAATATAACACCACAATCTTTCTCTAATTATGATATCAATGAAGAACTGTCTGAAAAAATATATAAAGATCTCATTAAAAACAAGATTCTAAGTAAAATGAAAGTAAAACACAATATTTCCGAAGATGATATAGACACAATTTGTTTTAATTATGGAATATCTACAGATATGTTGAAATCATTTCTTTCCAAATATGTAGATATCAATGAAAGTGCATTTCTTAAAGACTTGAAAAAAGAAATCAAATTACCTAACAAAGAAGAATTTTGGAAACTTCTCATGGAAAAAAACGTCTTAATTGATGACGTACAATTCATTATTGTAGACATTGAAAAATTGAATGAAATTGATCCTTCATTACTAGATTCTTTGCGCTCTCAAAATGAGTTCGAGCAGAAATCTTTGGACGACAATAATGGGTATATTCTTTTCAATACGTCTGTTATTCCTAGAACGCAAAGGTTTATTACTTTTAAAAAAGACGAATTTGTTAAATATGTAGGAAAGGAAAAATATAAATCACTTAAGAAAAAGAGAATATTTTCATTTAACAGAAAATCTCTTTTAAATATAGTCAATACAAAGTCGATAACTTTTCCCTGTTACGATTCGATTACTCCAGAAGATTTTAATAAAATAAATATTAATAATAATGAGGCAGTAAATATATTAACAGAACTTTGCGAACAAAGTGTTATTGAAGATATAGGAAACAATATTTATAGATTAAAAATCAAATTTTACGAAATCGAACAAATTAAGCTGCGATACTGCCCAGTTTATGAAAATGACGTGAAAACATTATTATCTCTATGTTTTAGTTATAGAATCGATTTTCAGAAACTTGAAGAACAGAGTCAGAAAAATGCTCCTATGTGTTTACAAATAATGTCAAAACCGCATTTGGATTTATTTTTCGATTTAATAGAAAACAAATTAATCAAATGCAATACAGTGATTACTCATAATAAAGATTTAGAAGAAAAGTTAAAGCAAATCTATAAACGAGAAATGAATAAAGATGATTTCATGCTTCTAATATCTCAAGATAAACTTATTCCAGATGAGTGTAAAGAACTTCTTTTAAACCACTTGATTAAAAAAAATTGGCTTCGCTCGACACCGATAGGTTATAACATTAACACTGATGATATGAGACAAAAACCATTGAACTTTAATGCTGAAACAACTTACAAAATCCAAGAAATTGATAAAACTGTAGAAAAGATTCTTGATAATGAGCTGCACTTAGCGAAAATTGAAACAATACAATTTATTGCCAACACTTTAAAAATATTAAGGAGTTCGTTGCAATCAATCATAGTTCCTGAATATAAGTTACAATCACTTTCAAGCTTAAGTGAACTCAAGAGCATAGAAGAAATGCACCACTTTTCCCTCAATGCATTAGATCAAATCTTACAAATAAAAGATAAGAAATATACTCGAAATATGATTTGGGACTGTATCATTCCTATTGGAACTGGAATATGTAAAGTAGCTGCAGGTTATTTGATGCATATAATAACAAAGTATCAAAACACTGGAAATGCATTTGGAAATGCATTAATTAAGGAAGGCTTAAATGATTTAACAAATGGAATATATACTTTACTACCACGGTTTTTTGAGTGGAAACTTTATACACAGTGCAAGCTTATGAATTTATTTTCTTCCGTCTGTGCTTTTGGTTTAAAAACTCTTAAAAAAGGTGCTAACGTAGCAAAATTTGCTTATAAAATTATTAAGTCAAACCTGGGTTTTAATATGAAAATAACGAACATGTCTGAGGAAGCATTAATTAAAACTACGGCTCTCAATTTAGCAGAAAAGAAAGTAACTAGACTCACTGCAGCGAAAACTATAGAAATAGTATGTCATTCCTTTGCCAATGTAGGAATTGTTTTATTTATGGAAAATTGTCTTCGAAAATTATGTGAAGAAATGGACACTATGATTTTATCTACTATAGAACAAGAGATCGAGATTGAGCTCTGTAATATTTCCGAAAATCTAGAAAAACTCTATAATTTATTGGGACAACATAAAGCACTAAACGTTATAAATGGGCTGACGAACAGTTTTTTTAATAGTCAAGGTAACTTGGAACAATTTATATCTATTACCTGTAATATAGCGGAAAGTGTAGCCCACGACGTAGGGAAATCAGTTGTTGAAACTAATAAAATACACATCATGCCTAAATTTTCCAAATCAGCAGTGGAAAAAATAATGTACAAGTTAAAAAAATCATCACATATAACCAATATTAGAACGATAACTAAAAATCTATTAATCAACTTAAATCAGAAAATAATAGACAAACTAAATAAACAAATAAAAGAAGAAGAATTGGAACTTCTTAATCAGAAACTGGAAACAAACGAAAATTTTAAATGCTTTGAAAGAGAAGTTGTGAACCAATGGAAATCTATGCTTCGCGAAAATGTTAGTCAAATTATCGAAAAACATATCGTCAGCCCTATTTCAAAGAAGGGAGTTAATCACCTAATAAAACATGTGAGAAAAAATATACAACGAGTGCACACATACTACACAGAGCAAGGTTATTCTGAAAATTTTGAACAATTGAAGCAGATTTGTATGAAAAATCTGCTTCAAAAAGCTGATGAAGCAAAAGAAATTGAAGAACAAATTACAGAAAAATATCATAAGGATTTGATAAAACTCTTAACCAAAACTAAGAACCCTGAATTGTATGCAGATATGATCGAAGAAGGTATACCAATGGATATCGCATGTATAGGTGCGAGTACTCAAATAATAAAACGGTTGCTAAAAAACAATGGATATAAAAAAGATATAAAAATTGTTATTGAAGAGAATAATGGAATAAAACAGGAATTCTTTTCTTTGTCAGAGGAACAAGAATGCATAACAATTTCGCTTAAACTGAAAGATAATTATTTTAATATATGTAAAACCAATACTTCCGAAAACGATAATAGTGAATCAAAAAATAATTGTTTATATGAGGCTGTATTAAAAGAATTTTCTCCATTGAAGGATGCAATGTCACGAGAACAATTTAGAACAGAAGTAATTGATTGTATTAAATCAGATAAAGAGATACGTAATTATATAAAGAAAGGAGGGCATCAAACTCACTCGTCACTTAGACCAATTGATAGTGGACTTCAGAAGTTAGAAAAAACAGAAAACAAAGACTTGTCCATTGCATTGAATGAAGACATTTATGATTTTGAACAATATCGTTATATGAGAAAAAAGCGCAATTTTTACAAACATATACTTCGTCGATTTGTACGCAATTGCTATTTGTCACAGTGCCATCCTAAATTTGCGCATTTTCTAAGTCAAGTGCAAAATGATACAAAATGTTCCAATGAATGGCATGGAGAAACTGAAAGTATAGATGTATTTCCATCACGAAATGTGAATATATCTACAAATACAACTTATACAGAGTCCTTTACCGCAGAAGATGCTACGATATTAAAAGATATTAGAGATGAACTTAAAACCACAATTAAATTATTTATTGCCAATGAAAATGTTAGCGATGGCGATCTGGAGTTCTGGAATATTTTCTTAGGTGATAATTCGGTTAAGCTTTTATTTGGCAAGAATCAAAACGGCTCTACAGATTCTACAGACAAGTAAAGAGATCAGAATTGAAAAATTTTTTTTTCAATTCTAAATAAATAAATTTCCGTTTACCAGTTGTAACCAAATTTTATATCTAAAGTAATAAATTAAAAAAAATTTATTTTGTTGAAAAATAAATGTTCAATTAATGATCGTCATTAATGAATACATATATTTATATAATTATAATTGATTTTGTCTCTTCAGTCCACAGTAAATTGAACATTTAAATTAAATAATAACTAACTTCGTTAAGTATTTTATTAATCATTATTATTATATTATTAATTAATCCAACTCTATACTTTTTTCATTATATTATTAATACGGCGTTTACATTGGCCGAAAATGGCTCATTTTGGTCAAAAATCGAAAATGAGTATCGAATGGCTCATTCTTGCATATAAAATTTCAAGCACAAAAATGAGCAATTTTCTCACATTCTGTATGACGTTCGAATGCATTCCACATACGTTCCAAATGCAAAGGAATCCATTGAACATACCCTAAATGAAAGCTCTTCATGGCATTTTGACAGTTTGAAAAAGCTGTTTTTAACATATTCACAAAAAAAGGTAAACAAATGTTTGGTGGTTGCATTTTCTTGAAAACGATGCACTGCTGTTTAGAACTTTTACTTCCCAAAAAGTAATTAATCGAAGTTAAAAATATATTTTAAGTTTCTAATGTAAGGTTTGAAGGCATATTTAACCTTCATGCAACATTTTTTTGGCACAGGCCAAAAATCAAATCAACATGCAAGTTGAAAAATAGCTGTTGAAATGAGAACAAATGAAATAGAACGAATGTAAACACTTTCAAATGGCTCATTCAAAATGAGCCATTTTCGGCCAATGTAAACGCCGTATAAGATAAACGCACCCTAATCGTTTGATCAGAGGTAAACAAACGTAGAATGTTGTTATATCAAAAGCTCGGAAGGAACACAATTTCAGAATAGATGTGTTTTTTTTTATCAATAAAAAAGTTAATAATAAAAGTTCAACTTAAATATTATTCAAAGAAATGGCTTGACTAATATTTGAACATATTAGTCAGGCTCGTAGCCAAAAATTTAGTTTGCACGGGGATTACAAATCATTTTCGGAATTTAAATAATCATTTTTATATTATAAAACTAGCATAATGCATTAAAGGATATAGTTCTTCGATTCATTTCGATGGAATTACCGTCTCTTAAGCCCCTTAAACGCAACAACTAACTCATTTTGAGTCACAAATAATACGGCGTTTACATTGGCCGAAAATGGCTCATTTTGGTCAAAAATCGAAAATGAGTATCGAATGGCTCATTCTTGCATATAAAATTTCAAGCACAAAAATGAGCAATTTTCGCACATTCTGTGTGAATGACGTTCGAATGCATTCCACATACGTTCCAAATGCAAAGGAATCCATTGAACATACCCTAAATGAAAGCTCTTCATGGCATTTTGACAGTTTGAAAAAGCTGTTTTTAACATATTCACAAAAAAAGGTAAACAAATGTTTGGTGGTTGCATTTTCTTGAAAACGATGCACTGCTGTTTAGAACTTTTACTTCCCAAAAAGTAATTAATCGAAGTTAAAAATATATTTTAAGTTTCTAATGTAAGGTTTGAAGGCATATTTAACCTTCATGCAACATTTTTTTGGCACAGGCCAAAAATCAAATCAACATGCAAGTTGAAAAATAGCTGTTGAAATGAGAACAAATGAAATAGAACGAATGTAAACACTTTCAAATGGCTCATTCAAAATGAGCCATTTTCGGCCAATGTAAACGCCGTATAAGATTAAAAATATGATGCATCAAGTTTTTAATTGTTTTTTGAGATAAGTAAAAAACCTATCAGCATAAATTATTGCACTTGAAAATATCGATTATAAGGAGGACAGAGACAAATATTAACACTTCTATTAACTTTTATTGATTGTTTTAAATACCAATTTCTTTTAAGACCATTTAGAAATCAAATTGAAACAATTAACTATATATAACCGAATTTTTATCTTACTATTAAATATATAAGTATATAAAATCGATAACTTTTATATTAGTATGTATGAAACAAATGTGAGTTATTCTTTATTAAATTATTTATTTGATCAATAATAATATATGACTTGTTCTAATGGCTTTCTTTGTATAATTATTCTTTGCACACAGTATATTAAAAGATATATTCTATGTTGAGTTCTGTAAACAATATGAATTAAATAATTTACATTTAATAATTAATTATATGTGAAAAATATACATTCCAAACTATACAAAATTGTAAAAGTGTTAACCACTTACATGCTTTCAAAACAATACGAAAACTATACGATAATTATTGTTTTCTAAAATTAAATTTTTACATAAATTTATAAAAATATTAAATATCATCTTAAAGGAATTATATCATACTAATAATGTATAAAAATTATAATATATTTAATCAACCACATTAAGATCTTGTTTTTTTTTTTTTCATTGAATTAGTTAATATTAGTTAATAGTTAAGTCTAGTTTTTTCCAAATACATATTTAAAAGGAATTCATATGGCCGATAACTTTCCAGTTATCTGAAATAAAAGCTAGTTATCTGAAAAATAGAATTTACAAGTCTAAATGGCAATTAAGACGCACTCAGCTGTTATGTTGTAAGATGACAAACCTTGAACTTGACATATAATAGGTCTGTTCCACGAGCTACTCATGGTATACATAAATTCGTTTCACCAACAAATTTTCGAATAAATGAGAGCATGGCAGAGAGCGTAACACCCATGTCGAAAATTGAAAATGCTACACAGACTTTACTCGTACATTTTATTTCAAGTAAAATTTTTGTTGATGTGTAAATCAGCTGTTGGTTAGAATTTAAATTTTTGTATTGTTTATATTTGCGCGGCACTGGTGTTCTCACCAGACTTTACACACCACTGTTCCATGAAAATCTTTGTACTTTACTTGAGTTTTACTACGAGTAGCTTGTGGAACAGAGCTACAGAGTGTTAGTAAATGAGGACCACAAAACGGATATCTCTATGTTATAAATAATATTAATTATTCAGTTGATAAGCGAAATTTACAACAAACTTCTTCAAACCTAAAACTGCTTAAGGTCAATCTCCTAACCTTACCTAAAAGAAGCTAACTTCTAACGAATAACAATAAATGAATTATGTATAACTTTAAATCCAGTTTTTGGGAAAATCAATGCGGTGAGTGCCCGAGACAAAATTAATTGGTGTCTTTTTTCTTTCAGATTTTGAAGTAAAAGGTAAAAAGTAAGTATTGATTTTTTCACCACTGTAATATATTGAGCAACAAGCAAAATTTACTTAATTCTCTAACTATATTGCTGCATATAGGTTGAATTCATTTGAATCATATTGCAACACATAGACATTCGGATTCTCCCCGGTACTAAAGAAACAGTTTTCATATTTATAGTAATCAACGTTGTAACTTTCGATATAACCATTAAAAAATTTTTCATTATATGTGACAAAGCTAAAAAATTTTCTGAAGCGTTTTGGTTTGTGCCTTTACTAAATGACTTACAGTGGTGGACAAAAAGATATTATCAAGTAGTAGAATTTATTTTTTTAAATAGATATTACAACCGAAAAATCAGTCATTTATATTCTTCATATTTGTCGTAAAAAATTAGTATACTTTATCTATTCTATACAAATTATCAAATCGATTTAATACTTTCTAAAATATTTTGAAAAACATTATACAATTCGATGAGAATAAAATCAAAAGTTATCAAACTATCCAAACAACACTTTTAACAACCAATCTGCACGTTAATAGTATGTTCCCATTGTCTTCACTAAAGCAATTTATTTGAATTAGGTCGTTAATAAAGTCCATTAGACGTACAAAGAGCTTTCGTGCTTTTCAACTTAAGTAAGAATAAATTAAGGGTAACCACATCTTCAAGTTCTTCTTATTATTATTTAAATAATTCATATAAAAAAAATTGTTAATGAAATTTAATTTAATTTCTTATTATTATCAATTAAATAAATCACATGAAAAAAATTTATTATGAAATTTAATTTAATCATATAAAATAGATTGATCATATAAAATTTATGGTAAGTATTTAAAATTAGTAACTAAAAATTTAAGCACGCAACTTAATAATAAACTATTTGGTGTCTTCTTTAACTTTTTACACTTTATAATTAAACTTGAACGTGTATTTAATTATTTGTATATTAAAATATAAAACATATATTTATTTAACAACATGATATTTAACAACATGGTGTTTATTCACATACTTCATGATATCATGGCTAGTACAGGACATAGTACTGTCTTCACTGCCATAAATATTAATACCAATTGCACTAACAACAACTATGGTTCGGCTACTGCCGGTGTTTACTCATCTCATAATAGGCAAAACTCATATCAAAATATATGAGACTAGTATAAAATTTCATCAAAAATCAAATTTATAATAATTTGGAAAAGGTTGTGCATTGCATGCACACAAAGTCAATCATATATTTTAGAAAAAATGTATACAAAAAGCAAAGACTATTTCTTTGAATTTGTGTGTTTGTGTGTCCATTTAAAACTAAACAACGCTTCTTCGTGTTTAACTACTATTCAACGCCCTTTCCTCTCTATTTCCTCTTAACCCAAAAGAAACCAAATTTTGTAAATATGGAAACAAAAATTTGCACTTCACTGATTCCCCTTTCGTCTTGATGCAGCAAAACTATGGAAGCATAAGTTCGCAAAACAGAAAATTGTCAACATATAAATCACACAAGCACCCAAACTAGCAATATGAATAAAAAATATATCAACAATTTCTATACTATATCACACACCTTCTCATACGCACATTCAACAGCTCTTTCGTGTGTTTCGAACACTTAAGATCATTGTGTTATACACAGCTTTCGTTTGTCTTAAGTGTTCTACAATTCAAAGCTGATTGTGTTTTTAGCTGGCTACTCGAGCTGGCTACCATGAAATCAAAGGGGTCCATTTTTTTGTTCTGCATTCGCAATCTGTATATTATTTGTCTGTGCTTAAAGCTTTAATTTTGCCTCTACTATAAGTAAGTGTTAGGTCTATAGCATAGAATTTTATAAAATATTTTTTTATTCATTATATAAAATTGAGTAGTATATTGGATGTACATCAACTATCAAGAACTATCGCCCTGTACAAGAAATAATGTGGGTTATCTCTACATTCAAAATTCCAATGTTTAGTAGAAATTTTACGATTTTATTGAACTTAATAAAAACATGTGTAATACGACAAAAAAAAAATTGACCTGTTTTAAATTATTCATAAGATGTTTATATATAATTTCAAACAAGAAATATTCTATAGAAAATCTAACATTTTTTTAATATATAACAACTCGGCTTCCCACAGGAACATTACTAACTTTGTACTCATAAATATATTAGACACACAAAAAACGTAAAAAAAATAAAAAGTTAACGAGTGAGAATTTAAACGCTTATTCTTTGGGAACTTACTTTAGTAAGTAAAAAAAAATACGATCCATTAACACTAAGGAGCAGATTATACTGTCAATCTTAAGTGAAAATTAATTTGCAAATGATTCTAAAATATATTTACATTACCGGATAACATCTGATTGACAGAATACAACAAATTGTTTGTTTTAGCATTTAATAAAATAAGCCGGAATCTGTATCCTTAACGTTCCCCACAAATTACCTTTTTTCTCCTACATTCATTTTTACATTCATTTTAAATTCGAAGAAAATTGATAACAGTAGTAATAAATCAAAATCAATTAAATCGAACACGAAATAATAAGTTTAATATATAAATAACATAAAATGATAAATATAATCAGTAAAAACTGATGGTTCCGGTTTTTATAATATATCTTTCCGACAGTAACTAACTTTAATAAAGTTTACCAATTTTTTTTCAAACTAAATAAACTTGCGTTAAGTAATTAGAGAAAAGGCTTCAATTCTTTATAAATTTTATTAATAAAAATAGTCAAATTTGAATGAAAAATCATAAATACAAATCTAAATGGAAACCCCAAAGGGTAAGATATTTTCTTTCTTTGTGTTATTGTATATTTTTTATACGCGCTATTCGCTTTTAATCGTCACGCTACTATCTGTCATAAATCTTTGTAAAAATATTTATACAATATATTTTTATTTATTAATACTTTACTTATCTAACACAAAAACTGAACTATACATAAACAAATCCAACAGATTGGAAGTCGATGAGACTTTCAGTAATGAAGATGATGAAGAGGGTTTTCCCGGATTTCAGTTTGAAAGCTATGATGATTTTGAACCCGCATGTTCGGATTCCGAAAATTCCATGCAGAAAGAAGTAAAGCTAACCGTGTAAGTTTCAAAATTTTTAATATTAAAATTAGTCCAGCCATATATATGTGCATAATTTCTCTCATAACGAATATAGCACCAGAACAAATGATTTTGATGCAATGCTTCAAAGAAAGGCTGCACATCGTATTGCTTTGAAAAATAAGTTAAAAAGTTTTGAGTTGACAAATGAGCAATATGCCAACTTAGTCGGTAGAATGTTTGATGCTGCTCAGGAAGATGTGGATCTATACAATAACAAGCAACCGGCTGTTAAGAAAGTTGCAATGCTCAAGGAAATTAATGCCATCTTCTCGCGCCCATTCCAAGAAATAATGTTAGACTACAATGTTTTGGGTGCGCTCACTGCTTGGATAACTCCTATATCTGAACATAACTTACCTTATTACCCGATACGGGAAGCTGTGCTCAACGCTCTACTTAAGGTATGTTGGTTTTCGCTTATAAAATCATTTTATTTAGACTATACTTTTTGAACACATTTCACATTTTTTTTCCAGACAGCGTTTTCGAGAAAGCTTTTCCGAGGCAGCTTTTTCTATTTATTGAAAATAGGTCCAATATACCTCGGATTGGATTTTTGTTAAGAAAACGAACGAATTTCTTTAGTGGAACTCCTTTATAGAACTAGTTTTTTAGTTGTAGCCTAAAATGGGACTGGAAAATTGGAACTCACTGCGTTTATCTAATTCAACTACGCCTAACATTTGAATTAGCTGTAGTTTTGTGTGGCTGCTCCGCACAAGTTTCCCAGATCAAATCTGTTGACTCGCAGTGCAGTTTCTGTTCCTTTATTGTTGATAAAAAAAGGAGTCACCGTTTGTCATAGTCCTGAGGCGTCTGGAAAAAGTTGATGCTTGTAATAGATTTCTGAAAAACCTTATAAATTATTACCTTAAGTGGCTATTATAACAGCTTTATGAATGCTTTGAATCCAATTCGACAATAAGCAATAAAAAGCTATAGAATTGTAACTCAAAAACTTATGATAAATTTATATGGGTATATTTTTTATGTATCTCACAGAAAACGTCTCTAAATTGAGCAGTTGCCTAAATCATTTCCTGACATAATTGCATACTGGGTATTTTTTTGTTGTATATTTTAATCAATAATATAAAATAAATACAACATTAACAATTTTTATATATATTAAAATATTTTTCGATACTGGCATATAACATATTGTAGAACACTACGATATTTAGTATAATCTTTACTACGGTTTTTATAGATAAAACTTAATTGCACCTTTTATCGTTAACAAGGTTTTATCGCTTTCATAATTTTAGACTCACGGGCATTTTTGTGTATCGTAAAATTGTCAGTATCGTCAATAATGCGGGGCCGTGCGTTTGTTTATATACTGTTTTTCGTTATTACAACGCTTTTTAAGCTAACAGGTACAGTTCGTAGCCGAATTGTAGGTGGCGAAATTGCTAAAGAAAGTGAAGCACCCTATCAAATTTCGCTACAGACTATACCAGGCTCACACTTATGCGGCGGTGCCATTATCGGTAAACAATGGATACTGACAGTAGCACAGTGTGTCAGCGGCTGGCCGGCTAATTACTTACGTGTCGGTATGGGCAGTAATAATTATACTGATCCACTTGTTATACACTATCCCGATCGTATTCTCACGCATTGCCGCTACGACACACCAAAGTATCATAATGATATTGCTTTATTGCATCTTAATACAAGCATTTCGTTTAATTCAAAAATACAAGCAATAGCACTACCACTACGGATGCCAAATACAACAATGGAATTACAACTCACCGGTTGGGGTAGTACAGTGCTATGGGGACCTACTCCTGAGTTGTTGCAGAAACTTTCTTTAAACTTCATCACTCGGAATGAATGTCTCACACGTTTAGAGCAGTTTGACGACGTTAGTGTGGATGTTTGCCATATCTGTGCCTTTTCACAGTCAGATAGATCTGCTTGTCATGGAGATGCCGGCAGTCCTTTAGTCAGTAATAACGGTGCAACTCTAGTGGGCTTATTAAATTGGCATTACTCCTGTGCGCAGGGGTTACCTGATATGTACACAAATGTACTATATTATCACGATTGGATACGTCAAGCGATTAGTGGTAATTTAAAGTGCAAACATGTGCGATGAGTACCAAGGAGGAATACGAAACCAATATTCAAAATTATTGATTTTATTTCATTTGTACTTTTATTTGTGGTGATATGATTGTCGAAATAAAAATTGTACTTTATTTTTGGAAATCTATAGAACTTATGTTCTGTTTTCTCTTTGTGGGCAACTAATTTAAATGTTTGGAGGGCAGCCAAATTTTAATATGTTCTTGTCGGTGTCGTTATGTCGAATAGGTTGAATCATTTTTCTGTGTCACGCGTGTTTTAAAATTGTTGCTTCTATAACTCAGGTAGCAAAGTAATTCAATTTTGTCTGAAAATATGTCTCGTCAATTGTAAATAAATTTATTGAGTGCTTGAGAATAGTTGCCGACTGAAAAAAAAATTAATAATAGTGTAAAAAATTTATTAGTGTTTTAAGATGTAAATAAAATTCTTCGTTACTTTGTAGGAAATTGCAAATTGATTAATAAATTATAAACTTTAATTTGAAGTCAAAAATATAAAGTTTCCTGAAAAATCACTTAAATTATCAAGACATAATCGAAGATAATCTACCGTACAACAAAGAGAGAGAGAGAGATAGAGGTATTGTAATACATCAGCACAAAAAAAGGGCAAGATAGAATACCACAATATAGAGGTATATCACTTCGATTAACGTGGGTTAAAAAAACTTTGAAATTTTGCAGACGATAAAGATCTAATAGCACGAGAAAGACATGCTCTAATAAAAGCATAAAATAATATAAAAAGCTTAGCGGTTAAGGTGGAAGTCAACATAAATCAATTTAAAATTGAGTACATAATGCGTGCAAGCAATAACAGAACTTAAAATTCGTAGAACATAATACAGCTAATAGGGTTTACTCAGCACAATTTAAACTCACATCTTGAAATCAAAAACAAGGTTACACACTATCCTAATTACATACCTTCTTATCTATTGATTTTCGACCTACACATTGGAAAGTGTTAACATTGCACAGGTGCCTAAATATTATTTTAACATAAGATTATTGGAAAAATATACCGCCTATACCGCAAATATGTGACTCATTTCGAAGTCGCCATAACGCTGAGATGGGAAGAATATTGAAGAACTAAAGCATTACTACTTACTTACTTAAATTACCGTTACCGGGTATGGTGATCACTTAGAACTTAAATCTGTTGCAATAATTTTTTACAATAGTGTATCAAGCGTTTCGCTTCTGAAGTATAATTCGTAAAATAAAAAAAATTTTATTTTTTCTGACAAGAAAATGGAAAATTGAAAAACGTGCTCATTACGTAGAAAAGACATTCTGAACATTTTTTGGGGAAAATTCGAAATGTGTAAATGCCGCTCTTCAGTTGATGCAAAAGCTACGCTGAGTGCGGTACGATCAAAATAAACTATAAACAAAATTTTACGTTTTTTTTTAAAATTTTATATAGTATATAAAAGAAAAATATATTCATCTAATAGAGTGTAAAAATGCCAGTTAAAGTGAAAAAATTTCAAGTACATCATAAAAATTATAATTAAATTATAGAAAATAAATACCATATATGCAATAATACACATAAATAATATGAAATACGCAATTCCTGTTACACAAGTAATTGAAATATTGTTTTAAATAAAAATTGAAAGCATCCATTTGTGTTAAAAATATATTTTGAAGTGTGAAATATTAAGAAAATTATACGACGAATTTTTTTAGAAAATTTATTAAAAATTCATTCCAAAAAAAAGTCCATTGATGATTAATACAATTTTATATATTATATAAAAGGTTTTGAAATATTAGCATTTAGTGTGCAAAAAGAAAACAACAACAACAAATGTAGCTACTGAAAAATTATAATAAATGTGAAAATTATGAAAATTGTGAAAATCGTGAAAAATTTCAACAGGAAAATTTTGTTTGGTTGCGATGTCGGCATTTGTGTCACAATAAATTAAACGAAAAATTTTTATGATAATTATTAAGAAAATTTCGAAGTGTACACATATGTGCCAGAAAATGGAGCATGGAAATTAAAAAAAACAAAATTTGGTACATTTCGAGAGAGAAAAAAACAAAAAAAAAACAAAAAAATGAAAATAAAAATAAAAATAAAGAAGAAAACATGAAAACATGAATAATGAAAATCATGTTTCTTTTTATATATATTTTTTTTCCACTTTCTAAAAATAAAAGTATTAAGATTTATGAAGAGCGAATTTCCTAAGAGTCTAGAATAAGAGATATTGGATTAATCTCTTATAATTTTAAAATTTTTGAATTAATTGAAATATGCAATTTGTTTTACTCGTTTCTTTATATTATTTTCGGCGCCATCACTTTTATTTATTATTTATAAAGTCTTTAATAGAAATACATTAAATGGACGGTACCGAAATTTACACAGTTTTCACCTGCCCATAATTCTCTATTCTAAATGTTTATATTTATTTTTGTTTTTATGGCATTTTAAGTTTTTAATTTTATGATTAAAATTTTAGTTGTTTTGTAAATAAGTGATCTCACATCTCTTATATTAGGAATTTATTTAGAAAATTAATAAAACCAATTATCTGAGGACATAATACTCATAATAGGACATAATTGTGTTGGAAGAAAATATATTACCTTTAAGTTCTTTAAAATTAAAACAAATCAATCAAAATGAGTAAACATATTTTATTGACCTTATAACAGAAGGAAAACATCCTATTTTTAACAGAAAGCATTAACATTAAAGCGTTTAAGATTAAAGCGTCCATAAGTTTTAGCCTGTATTTGGAAAAAGCTGCACACACAGACAAAACAATAAACACCGTCTCTTCAATAAGTGCCGGTAAGCACGATTTACAAAAGTTTCGGCAGATAGCCCCTGCTTACCTCGATGCCGTTCTCTATTCCAGTGTTCTTTAACTATTAAAGAAATATTATCTCAAAACCTGTTAGCCTGTCGCAAAAATTGATCATTTCTCACTTTTCGTCTGTGACTGACAGGAGTTGTGGTTTAAATTGGGGACTCAATCGAAAAAACGCTAAATCTCGCTATATACTATAAGAAAAATATATATATGAATAATATGATATACGATTATTACGGTAGAAAAAAATGTATATATATATATCAAATAATCCTATATGTAAATTTAAACATTATATATGTACTCTTTTATATATATTTAATATATATTTAAACTATTATTAAACGATATATTTAAACTATTATAATATATAAAAAAAATTGATTATATTATATCATAAAAACAACTGACCGTTGTTTTTAATGTTGATATTGAAAACCTTTGTGAGAGAGCCAAGAAAATATTGGGTTCTTGGGAGTTTATCCTGCCTCTAAATAAAGCCGGGCACAACCAAAAGGAGTTTTTCATATATTTTTCTGCTTATCAAATCCACAATTTCTACAATATTTATTAGGCTGGAAACCTAAAAGCGTAGTTACTAAATATTCAGTAGATAGCTACCTAAACCACGACCTTTAATTTTTTCTTATCAAATATTAGTCACATTAACTTAGAAATTACACAAGAACCATCATTTGTGCAGGATCTATTGGTCTCTTGAACGAGATTGTTCTTTAACAACAATTCTTAGGTGTAATTTGCGGTCTATACGTATGAATTATTAATAATTTATTATAATTTTTATTATTAGGTATTATTATTTTTAATGTACTGTTGAATAGTGCGTAGTACATAACATTACATTAGTACACTCTATCAATTTTTCCTAATTTTTTAATATAGATTTAGTATTTAACTATTAGTAAAGATCATGTGAGTTTATAGTTTAAAAATTATAAGGAAGAAAATGTTTCCAGACAAAAAAAACTAAGACATAATTTAATATAATTAAAGCTATCACATCTAAGAAACTATACTCAGTATCAAATGTTAAGTACTGTGTTCAATCATTTGGACTAAAAGCTTATTCTAATTTACAAATTTATATTGTTTTACTTAAATTATAATTAAAAAATAGTTTAAAAACCGCGTACTTTTTAATTCCTTCAAATCTTTTTTTAGTTTCAGGGTACTATAACTAACATCTGTATCATATTTCTTTCCAATATGTGTATTTATCAGTAATATAGTTATAAACAACTACTATTATGTTATTATAAATTTCTAGAAAAGTGATCATCATTTTATGCTAATCTAATGGTTTTATTTAAAAAAGTAATTAGTTTATTTATGATGGTTACGTATCGAAATTCTACAAATAGTGAATTAGTATATATTAAAAACGATTTAAAATTACTTAAAAGCACTGTTAACCTATAGCGATTTTGGGATTATGTACCCTAAATAAAAATATCTTAAGAATCGTCAAAGAAATATTAGCAAGGTACTCACTATAGATTGAATTATGACCTTACAAAACTTGGCACTTGTAGGGAAGTTTTTTATGGAAGGAAATAAGAGAGCATAACACGTGCTGGGAACTTGTTCGACATTAATACATAAATTAAAGAGATACCTAGGTTGGCATATTATATATGTGAAGTAAAAATGAAACACTTAATGTGTCTTTATACAATTTTACAATATTAACATATTATATTATATATTATATTACATATATATTATATATTATATTAATATTTCAATTAAATTAAATAAATTTTTGTGTTTGTCCTTTCTTTCTTTCTTTCTTTTGTGTTTGTCCTTCCTTTCTTTCTTTGCTATTCGAAAACCCCCTAAATTTTAAATATAGCTTCTTTGTCACTATAAAGAAAGCGTAGCTTTATCAGCACAACAACAATAAATATTAACTTTATTAAAAAAACAAATTATAAAAGCAAATATTGGAAAATAAAAAACATTATTATATCAACCTAACCAATACTGAACACACCCAAAAACAAAAATAGCAGGAATCAACATCGTTATAATTTTATTGGAACTTTTGAATAATTCGAACTTTTTTTGATATATATTTTAGCTTCAAAAAGTGGAATAGTATATTGGAAGTATTTAATTATTAACAGTTTAAAAATAAAACGCAA